CCCGTTCAGGCCTTTTTTCTAGTTGTAAACAGTTCAGGGCCGGCTGTGGCCATTTGGTTTTAATTGGAAACTGTCTCTTTAAATTTCGAGGAGAACTGTGCACATGCGTAGTAGAACCCTCTGAGGATGGGACTGGGGTGTCCACTAGCTCAGGCCCTCTATAGTCACCAGAATGGAGGTGCTCAGACAGCAAGGGACCAATGAACAGCTACCAAAAGAAAAGAATGTCCACACCTTTATCTCCGTGGTTCTGCTAGGCATCTTGGCCGCTCTGATCCTTCCTCCGCTTGGTCTCACCGAAGATGGCGGCTCCCGGGGCAGCTGAGCAGCCCGGACTAGAAAGCAATGGATTTCTTGCTTCTGCCACAGATTCCCCCAGCTGTAAGCCTTCCAACCTTCTAAATATTCCTTTATATGTGGTTCAGAGTTCTGTGACCATCCTCTGAGCCTGCTTGGTCAGATACTCTGTGTTGTTTCTGACGGAGCTCCTTTTGCACTTCCACCCCATTCGCCATCTTTTTTGTTCTCTAATGGCCACTTTTAAAAGAAAATTTTATATAGAATTAAAAAAAGATAAAATACCTAATTTCTACCTTTGGGAAACCTAATCTGATGGGAATAGTACATAAAGATGTATGAAACAACTGGAAAACTTGATAAATTTAAGCTATAGCTCCAGGGAGAAGTTTAATTCAGAGACTAAAGAGTTCAGATGTGATCATTGCTGCTGGGGAGTTTGAGTGAGAATAGTCAGTCGGTTTGGCCTAATCTCAGGGACTGTGGAACAGCTTGGAGCCCTAGTTCTTTACCCGGGTCGAGACTGGTGGGAGGCTGGCACACACTCTCTAAATCTATGGCCACCAAACATTGATTTTGCATGGAATGAGAGCACAACTGCTGTCATTGCCAAGGTTGTGTATAGTGATATTTTATATTAAAAGGGAGCCCTAACATACAAAGTGGAGTCGTGGTGTGGCGCTGTAGGATAAGCACTTGACCACAAGATCGCTTTGAACAGCAGGTTGTTGGTTCAGACTCACCAGCCACTCCTCAGAAACCCTCTATAGGGTCATTACAGGTTGGAACTGACTCGACAGCAATCAACAACAACAACAACATATAAAGCAAGTTTTATATTACTGAAGTATGCCCAAAGGAAGGAGTTACCCATTTATTCTCCAACTGGGGCTTCTGCAATCAGCTTTTGCTTCCATTTAGGGAAGTTTATTTTAGACTGAACATTGTCTTAAAATGTTCAATAAACATACAATTATTGCATATCATCAAAAATGAGTAACTTTCTGGTGCCATATCTGGGTAGTTGTATATCTAAGATTCATGGACAGGTAATTTGGGACCAAATTTGACAGTTAAGAATGAATCACCTAATAATAAAAATGGTGTTCCTTGACCCATGTTTGTCTGACTCATGGCTACCCATGTGTGTAGAGTAGAACTGTTGATAGAGTTTTCGAGGCTGTGACCTCCCGCGACATCGCTGGGTGGGTTTAAACTACCAATCTTTTGGTTAGCAGTTGATTGTAAATTGCCTGCACTACCCATGTTATTGTTAAGTGCCATTAACTCAATTCCATCTCATAGTGACCCTGTATAGAGTTTTCAAGAAGCAGCTGGTGGGTTTGAACTGCTGACCTTGTGGTTAGCTGTCCAGTGCTTATCCTATAGTGCCACACCAGCATTCCACACATACAAAGGTTCTACTTGGAACCTGCACATGTTTATTCCAAATAACACATTTAAACACATCTCTGCAATTGGTGTGGCTGCACTTACTAAGGGGTCATCTTGATACATGTTCTCAGAGGACACAGGATGGTTATGGTGGCTTATTAGGAAAAATCTTTCAGAAAATCAAAAGCTTCAGTGCTCAGTAAAAGGCCAGGAAAGTTGCACCGAAGATTTTTTTCTATCATGACAGTGCTCCTGTCTGCTCTTCAGGATAGCAAGGTCTGTCCTATGAACTTTGTTGGGA